CCTCTCTCTCCTTTCTAGACAGGATCTTGCCCAGGCTAGCTTTGAACTTGCAATCCTCGTGCCTCAGCCTCCCAAGTCTAGGATTATAGGCATGTGCCCATACCCAGTTAGTCAATGCATGTTTTTCCTGGTTGATTCCAGAAAAAAAAAAAAAGGTAGTTTTATGGTATTCTTATTAATTCATACTAAAAATAATACCTAACTATCCATTTTCCATCATGATGTAAAAATAATTAAAGGGGGTTCCATGAAAACACCATAATGACCTGTATTATAATTGCTTCTGGGAGAACCCAAATTTGGCATTATGCTTTTCAAATCCAGTGTGATAGAGGAATTCTACCTGATTAGTCACACAATTTTCAGAGCACATAAGGTAAAAGCAAAGTGAGTGCAGTTGTTTGTGGTTTTAAGAAGCAAGTTCCTCCTTAGGGGTCTTCATAAATAGTTGTGCCAATAGCATTCTCAGTAACTTTCTTAGCATATACACACAGGCTGGGAGACAATTTTCACTTCTAGATGATGGCAATTAAACAGAGGCAGGATGGAGAGACCTCAGTCCCAGAATGCCTGAGTTCAAATCCCAGTGGTGCGTCTTACTAGCTGGGTGACCTTAGATATGCTATTTGAACTTGCCTCTGGCCCCTTGGTTTTCCTGTGATGTGAGGACAATAACAGCATGTATGAACACTGAGATAAGCGCTATAGATAGGGCTTATTACCACTTATTAATGAAGAGCTCAGTAAAAACAACTGGTGTGAGCACTGCCATAATGCCATCCAGTTCTCTGACTCTAACTGACCTGACTGCGGCCCAACATAGACCTTGGAAAAGTGTGGTCCAAAAGAACTTTTTGCAAAATGGAAATGTTCTATATCTGTGTCATCCAATACAACTGCCACTGTTGACTATTGACCACTAGAAATGTAGCTAGTGTGAAAAAAAAAATTGAACTTCTAATTAAAAAGCCACAGATGAGAAGTGGCACTGGGTAGCACAACTGTAGAAAATTCTGTCACTGTAATTTGATTGATTAATGCTAATCTATGCATCCTCCAGCAACATTTCTAAATATTGTTATCAGCTAAATTTTGGATATTAGGTAACAGGGAACTCTGAATTGAAGACCTTGACAATACTTTGAGTGTGACCAACCTCTGTTCCCAGGTGAAGAGACTTGGACTGTGGAGCAGTTTGTTGGGATGTGGAAAGTCCAAAGATAGTGGGTTGAACTTTGAGGGAAGCTGAGGAGTACCTAGGGCAAGGCCAAGTTCCTCCTAGAAAATTGTTTGGAGTCTGCAGCAGGGCACAAAGGAATGGTTTTCAGACTGAACAATTTTAAAGGGTGGTTTAACCAGATGCTGCCCTCACTACTCTCCCCACCCCCAACCCCTTCTATTAACTTTGGGGCGAAAGCTATCTCCTGATATACTCTCCAAGGTAACTACTCAGTAAAGATACACCAAGATGACGAAATAAAATGTAGCATGGGCCCCAACATAATTTCACATGAATCATGTAATATAAAAACAAGATAAAGGGAAAGTAATTCCTAATAAAATGTGTACTGCAATATGTGAATGCTCAGAAAGAAATGACCAGTCATCAACACCTGTAATAGAATTATGTGGTGACTTAATTATTATCAATAGCACTGCTGTCACAGAACTTTTTGAAACAGGTACAATTCTTGGTCAAGTTTTGACCAAAATAAAGTAGGAATCTTTCCTTAGTTATCTGGTGGTTATATTCTTGGAAAACTTATGATACACTGAAATTATACATAAAATTATCTTGTTTTAAAATGTAACATGGAGTTGGAGTTTAGTTTCAGACAACTGTAATAGGTTTTGTTTTCCTAACACATGAATGTCCAGCAAAACACTCAAAAATCATGTGGAGACAGAATAATTCTTTGTTGTGCCGAGTTGTCCCATGCGCTTTGGGACATAAAACATCTATGACCCCTGCCCACTAACTGCCAACTGTGGCCCCAACCATTTCTAAAATTATTTGTCCAAGCAATCATATGAATTCTACCAGCCTCACCAATGTCCAGTTCACCAATTCCAGCCTAAGTCAACCAGTACTCATCACTGGTTGGTTTGAGAATAGGGTAACTGATGTAATGTCAGCCAAGGCCACAGAGGAAGTTTTGCATGGGTGTCACAACAGTCTCCTAAAAACCACAGGAAAGATGGATTCTTCTTCTCTACATGGTTATAAATGGATATGACACCTGAAAATTCTCAGAAGCAGCTGGAGGATGCAGTCAACAGGAGGCAGAGCCCAGAGCACAGGGTAACTCCAGACCTGTCATCTAAAAGAGACAAAAACAAAAAAGACCTGTCATCCTTGGGGTATACCTTACTGCAGGGCTTTAACTGACATAAACTAATACATTTTCTATGGTTTAAGCTACTTCCAATTTGGACTTTGGTTCTTGAAGCTGAAAATACATAAATAATTTCATAAGACAGCATCCAAGTTAAAAACAAAACAAAAAAACCTACCTCAACCAAAATAACAACAGGTGACTATTGGCTCCTGGATTTCTGTACTGAGTGGTGAACTTGAGGCAGGAGATGCTGGTGGAAAACCAGTGTGTGCCTTAAAGAAGGAGCCTGCATTGTTCACCTGCCAAGTAGCTGGCACACCGTGGGACAAAGGCCAGCAGAGTTCACACATGCACCTTTCTGGGAACAACGTATGAAAGCAAAAATAAAAAAACTTGAAAATTTAATCTGGAAAAAAAAAATAATGACAGGTACATAAGTAATGCTATTGGTATTTGTGTGCATTAATTATGCATCCTGGATGGATAGGGCTAAAAAAATAGGTGAAGACTCTGTTTTCATGAAGCTTTTTATTACAGAGACAAGAAAAAAATACTCGTTCACAGAGAAACAGACCAAGAAATGCAAAATAAGTATAATCACACTGAGAATGTAAGCATTGGGAACTGACAGACAGGAATGGGGGCAGTCCATGGTCAGTTATAGGTTTTCTGAACACACAGGATTTGAGCTTGAATGTTAAATGTTGTACTGCTGGGAAATGTGTAAAAATGGTGCCGTATAGGAGGAAGGCAAGAATACAGGAACAGGAGTGGAAAATTTAGTAACGCCTGCTGAGATGGCAGCAGGAGAGGATCAAGATAAACACAGTACCATTGCCAGTTTCGTGACAAACAGTGGGGCAGGAGGGAAGCGCAAACTAATGGGATAGAGCCTCAATCTGGAACCTTTGCTCCCCGTGGCCTACCTGTGACAAGTTACTTATGCTTCCCAATAACCTTCCCCATGTCAGTTTTTTCATCTCATAAAATGGGGACAGGTTGTGCCCGGGGATGGGGGGTGTGGGGGTGTGGTAAGGATAACATGAGGCAGGTTGAGCAATTTGCCTAACTGGAAATTGCTTGATCATGGTAGTTATCATGGTACTACTTTTAAAACCACAAGCAATCCACCCAAATTCATTTCACAGCATTTATAAGGCAAACATATATGAAAGTCTGTATATCAATTATATCAAGTTTCAAAAAAAGCTTTGAGTTTTAAATAGCCAATTGTAATCCATAACAAAATCCTGAAATTAAGAGAAACACTACAAAAAGAGATTGTGATTAAGGATTTATAAATACATTTATTGGTGGTACTCCTTAATGATGAATGTGAGTAGTAAAATACAAAGAACCAGCACTAAAAGGAAACATTAATCATAAAAAAATGTGATACATTTACATGGATCAAGCAATCTACCATCTGTTTAGATTTACAAACAAGTGTAAAGCTGATTCTAAAGCTTTCATTCTGAATATATTTTGAACTTGAGTCCTGGTGTTCTCCATGCTAAAACTCACTGTTATTTATTTATTGCTGTAGTTATATCAAGCATGATTAATTTTGTATTTAACCTGAAAGCAAGACTCTGGAAGCTGATCCTGAAGCAATCAGTTAGGAATTTCAAAACAGTTCTTTAAGATAGGATAAAGCAGCAGGAAAGAAGAAAACCTCAATACCAGATTATAAATGTAAAGGAGAAAATACTCAAGAAGCAAAAAGAATCATAGAAGTGCCAATTCTAGTCTATAATTTCTAATTCTAGCAACAATTCAATTAGAATAGCTTAGATGCCTTTGTTCTAGAAAATAAAACCACTTGTTACAATTTTCAGACTTCACTCAATGAATAATTATTATCTCCACTTCTTATTTAATAACCTAAGAACATGATTTATATATTAGAGAGTCACTAACAAAAGAGGACTTCAAACACATCACTGAAAGTTGCAGTACAGTTTTGGGGCCAGATTTCAGCTTATATAATGATACCATTCATAAGGAGTTTATGACACCCAGTACAATACTGCTCAGGGCTTTTCACTTAGAAACACTCTATCCATTCCTGCCACTGGAGAATTAGTGATATGGATGGGACTGTTGTGAGAAGTCTAATAGCCTCATCAGGGCTATACATTAAAGGACTATGGTAAAACTGTGAGGACATAGCTAGCTTATAGGACTGAATTATTCAATGTAATAACAACACTTTAGAATCATGGTGACAGTTAAGAATCAGAATTATTAACTACTTAGTACAAAAAAAGTTTTCTGACTATTTTTGATAAATAGGGTACCTCTAAAATAAACTTGAGGGGAAACTGAAAAGTGCACTCTATAAGCTGATTTTTTCCACAGATATTAACAAGCAAAGCAGTTCACAACAAATCAAAATTACCATAAAACAATTAAATATAAGATCAAATCATCAGTTTTGAAGAAAACACGGCTCATTGTCAGAAGTTTTATTTGGCTTGTGCCTAGATTTGAAAATATTAAACCAAATGGAGTCTAGCAATACTAATTTACCATACGGGATTTGAAAAAGTGCTTCAAGTTTTAAGCTGAAAGGTTTTACTCTCTTCTTAGAGAAAGTAAATGAAAAGAGGAAACAAGTTCTTGCAAAAAAAAAAAACTAAGAAAAATAAAAACAAAACTAAATCAATCATTTAAGAAAACTTTTTGGTTTTTGGATATACCAATTGGTTCAAATTGGGGTAACATCTGTATTGTAAGTTCTAGTCTCTTCTTTTAGCTTCCATTCTATTCACTAGTAGGCTTTGATCAAACAAGGGTATGGTTAGGTTTTTTTCAAAAGTCAGGTTGAGTCAGAGGTAGCATAAGGATACTTGACTACAGTGTGAAGTTCAAATGAACACACTGTTTTTCTAACAGGGTTATAGTAAGTAAAAATGCAAAAAGAAAAATGTACAGCCTTCACTGCCTTACACTGAGAAGAATTCTGAGAAACTGAGAACCAATACTGGGATCCAGGAAATATACATGGGCTTCATCTCAGTGAGCCTCTTAATGCACCAGTTCAGGCTGGTTTTCCACAAAGGGAAGCACCCCACTAACATAGTAGGCAATGCCCAGAGACAGCAAAGCAATGACAAAGATCAGAAGCAAAACCCTCCAGAATCCCAGATCCTCCACAAACTCCTGCCATGTTGTTCGAAAGCTGGAAAGGACTCCTTCACCTTGCTGTAGGTTGGGATTGAGGAGAGAATGACTTTCCATGGCACTGCAGAAGAAGGAAAGAAAAATAAAGGGCATGAAGGGATACACATCACCCATTTAAAAAACAAACAAGAGGAGCTGTATTACTTAGGAAAGGTCAACCTTATAATGCAACACTTACAAAAAGAAAACTAGCTTATATAGATGCTCTCACCCACTTAGATGCGGATTTGTATACCCACACATATCCAAACAATGTATCTTCAATTATAAAGTGATAAGCTATAATGATTATGTTTCTTGGTTTAGTACCAAGCAGAAAAATCCTAACTAAGAAGTACCAAGCAGAAGTGTTAAAATAGGTTAAATGAGTTTCTTCCATCAAATATTAAACCAAAATATACTTTAAATTTAGAACATTTAAAATGAAAATTCATAATTTGAGAATTCACATTAGTGAAAAGCAAAACGAGAAAATTCAAAATACTATTTTATGTGAATATGAAAGCTAAGGGAATCTTTATTAGTTTAATAATCTGACCAGTGAAGGAATTCCTTTAAGGGCAATCCTCAAAAACGAACGCTTACTCCTCAGTCTGATATACGTGGGACTGGTCTAGCCATGAGGAATTCTTTATTTATGTATTTATTTATGGTACTGGGGTTTTAACTCAGGGCCTCCACCTTGAGTCACTCTACCAGTCCATTTTTATAATGGATTTTTTTTTTTTTAAGACAGGGCTGGCTTGGAACTGTGATCTTCCTGATCTCTGCCTCCTGAGTAGGAAGGATTACAGGCGTCAGCCACTGGTGCCTGGCACCATGAGGAATTCTTAATGGTTTTTCTCAATTGGCTTTAGCCTTACCTTGTATAATAACCAGAGTGAGTGTGTTTCTCTTCTGCATAAAGACTGAGTCTAGTTGAAAATAAGGTAGTAATAAGTACTATGAAAACACTGATTCTGGTTTCCAGAACAATATCAATGAGAACCTTAATCACCATAGAGAGAAAACGGATCACTGACTTTGGTTTTCAGAAGGATGCACTGTGATGGACTGAAAGCTTTAGGGATTGGCACTCATAGTTATGTCACAATATGCAGGCCCCAAAACAGGGTATCATTTAGATTAAAGCCACAAAGACCATAATAATATGTATCAGCTATCCATTTGGTTATAAAAGCCCATTACTACCCTTCCTAAACCCTTCTGTTCCTATTCTTCCAACCACCTAGGTACAGAACAGTGAAAACAGCATAAAACAAGGTTTAAAAAGTCCAGTTTACCATGAGCTACGAGAAAGCATGTGGAAAACTGTTCTTTAATCCTATAACTTAATTTGACATTGTTAACCAAAGGTCTTTCATTTAGCCTTTACCAGTATAAGAGGTCTTCTCTAGTCACAGGGCAACCTATTTCACATCCAAACTCTTTTCATATTAAAAAATGCTTATTCTTTGAATAAGAGCATGCACTTTCAGTGGAAGTCTACAACAACACAGAAGTTTAAGAAAACATAAGCAAGCTCCAGAATTAGATTAGAACTTTGTGAAGGCCTAAACAAGTAAAATTGCAAATGAAGGTCAGAACAGGTTTGGTTTCACCTGTATGAAAGTTACTGATTGTGTCTGAACTGATATGCTCTCATATTCATAGATGTTAATAAAATAAGAATTCAGAGTTCATGAAGCTCTACTTACCAGAATTTTTAATTTTTTTTTGGTGGTATTGGGGTTTGAACTTGGTCTTGCACCTGTTAGACAGGTACTCTACCCCTTGAGCTATGCCCACAGACCTAATCAGAATTTTTGATAGAGATTTTATCCAATGAAATGCTTTCTACTCTTTAGAAAATATCTGATTCAGTACAGTGTTGGGGATGGGTGTTTGTATATGTAATTCTTTTTACACATGTATCTTCACTGTCTTTGTCATCCCATGCCTACATAATACAAAGAACTAAATTAAACAAGATATGGGAGTGGGGAAATACTTCCATCAACTTGATTTATAGGTCCTTACATAGAAGTCATATGTAAGTTATGCTACAACTTGGGGATTCCTAAAGAAAACACTGTAGTTAATACATTTAAAACCTTATCTTCTGCTCTAGAAAAGGCTGTCATGCAGCTAAGCCACGAGGTCATCCAAGTGCTAGCCAATCCCTTTATATTTTTCCTTCTCTTTATTTTTGAGATAGGGTTCATATGCCATAAAATATGTTTAAACTATGAAAGTTAGTGGCTTTTTAGTGTATTCACAAAGTTGTAAACCATCTCCACTAACTAATTCCAAACTCTGAACCCATAGGTCATTCCTCACTGCCCCGTCCCCCAGGCTCCGGTAACCACTACTTTACTTTGTGTCTATGGATTTGCCTATTCTGGGCATTGTGAATAAATAGAATCATATAATATGCAGCCTTTTGTGCCTGGCTTCTTCCATGTAGCATGTTTTCAATATTTATCCAGGTTGTAGCATGTATCAGTATGTCATTCCTTTTAATGGTGGAATAATATTCCACTTGATGAAAAGATGGTGTTTTGTTTATTGTTTCATCAGTTGATAGACATCTGGGTGGCTTCTATATTTGGACTATTATGAACAAGGCTGCTATGAACATTTGTACACGTTTTTATATGGGCATATGGTTTCCGTTTTCTTTGGTACGCACCTAGAAGTGGAATTGCTGGGTCAAATGATAACTCCATGTGTAACTTTTTAGGAACAGCCAGACTGTTTTCTGAAGTGGCGGCACCATTTTATGCTCCCTCTAGCAATGTACAAGGATCCCAATTTCTGCGTATCATCCATAACACTTGTTGCCTTCTATCTGTTCTCTTATTTTTCCATGCTGAGGATCATAAACCCCAGGCAAGTACCTTACCCCGAGCCACATTATCAGTCCTGCCTTTTTCACTACAACCAAGTGGCATTTCACTTGGTTGTGTTTGCATTTTCTCAATGACATTGTCTTTAAACTTAATTTCAGCCTCAACTATTGCACTTGTACCATGACACTAAGGGGCAGGAGCAAGTAAGAGAACAGCTGCTGTGTGCCCTTGTTGGCTCCATCTACATTCTACTGAAAACTCAACAGGAGACTCACACTTCACATCTCACTGAGTAATTGTGAGGCTGAACCCCACGGCAGTCTGCCAAATTACAGCTTCTGAAAACTAGGTCAGGCCTACTAACTTCACCTGGTGAGCCAGTGAGGCCAGGAGAAAAGATGTTTGCCACCTTTTCAGAGTTCTCTGAACTGTGTTCGCCACTGTTTCTAGATGAAAAGTGATGAGCTGTTTAGAGCTCAAATTTCATTAGTTCTAACTCATGTGAAAGTCACTTTCAATGACTGATTTGTCTATGTGTTAAATCTCATTTTACTTCCTCTCTTCTGTTTATTTCCCAGCATTCCACTTTCCTACTCTTGGAACTTCCTTTTTGATCTTTTATTATTGTCTAAGTTCTCAGTCTTATTTTCCCCCACTTTTTTCAAAATTTTTTTAGTGATCTGTACTTAAGATTCTTAAACTGTTCCTTTCTTCCCTAAGATTCAGCTCTTAACTACCTTTTCCCCCTTGAACAGTCAGTACAACAGGGCTAACTAAACACTGTGTGCATGTGGTCATGTAATACTTTCTTGTCAATAGTTTCTCCACTACAATCCGAAACTATAAGGACCTATTTAGCATTCAAGATAGTATCAAAACTCTGTACTTGAGAGGAAAGGAATATAAAGTTCAAAAATCACCACCAAAGATCCAGGTAATTAGTGATCTGCCCCTTTAAAAATTGCATCTCAAGTACCTTTCACTCTCAGCTGTCTGCATAGTCTCCAGTTTTGAGTGGGCTCCTCTGTTAAATCCTTTTACCTCCTGTTCTTCCAGAGATTCCAGCAATCGGATGACATCTTTATTCACTCCCCTGCGCTTTGCCAGAACCAAAGGAGTAGCACCTTGATGATTGCTAAAAAAAAGAAAGAAAAAAAAAGGCTCATAAAAATAAAGAGGTCATTATGGCAGTTATGTTATACTGGAAGTACTCAATTGTGTAGATCTCAATGAAGGCAGGATAGGACTAATTAGCTCAAAATTATAACCAGGAACAGGGCTGCAGAGTGGCTCAAGTGATAGAGTACCTGCCTAGCAAGTACGAGGTCCTGAGGTCAAACTCCAGTACCACCAAAAAAAAAAAAAACCAAACAAACCAGGAACAGAGTGAAGGTCAAGCTGGCAGCTGACATGTGAATTACCCTATTTTTTTTTTTTTTTTGGGAAAAGGAAAAAGAGAATGCAGAGGTAAAAGAGTAGACAATTGACAATAAATAAAAGAAAATGAGAAAATCTCAGAGATTAATTGGAACAGTCTAGATCTAGGCTCACTCTTACTTATTTAACACATTTTATGGGAAGTACATATATATATATCTGTGTGTGCATATTATATGGAGAAAGAGAGTGAGTTTAAGAATAAAAAAAAAAAAAAAGCAGCTTTGGTTCACAGCTGTTTAGCACTAGTATCAAGAGAGAACCCAAATCACATGGAATCTTGCAGTCAGTTCTTGCCCCATTCTGTCCTGTATTAAGGGCATTACAGCAACAATAAACCAGTCTGTAACTATATTTTAAAATTCAAGATCCGTTTTAAAGGTGGCCTCACATCTTTTTCACTTTCTCAAACTGTTTAGTCTAAAAAAGGACTCTGGGATCCAGAGAGATTATGAAGCTAGTATGTCATGTAGCAGAATGCATACAAGCTTTTGAGTCAGTGCAACTAGGTTCAAATTCCAGCTTTGTCCCTTATAAGCTGTGTGACTTCTTTCTCAACCATCTCATGTATAAAATTAAGATAACTACTACAGCAAGAGCTGTTCATTGTGAGGATAAAATGAACTAACATAAGTAAACATGCTCCAGTTAGCAGATTTTCAACAAATGTTAGTTCTTTTCTTCTTTCTTCTGTCACACATTAAACTCTCCATTTCTTTCACAGAAAAAATAACACTGCCTCACCATAGATCTAGTCAGCCTCTTGTTTTGTGTTAACAAGACTTCACTATCTTCCATGCTTTTCTGAAATTGTCATTACAATTGATCAGTGAGGAAACAAAATTATTGTTTGAAAGACTAATTGGAAGAAATGACTACACTTTAAAAATCACAAAGAACTTACCAAATATCAATTTTGAGCCCATTGGAAACTAAGAATTGGATAGTATCCATATGGCCACAGAGGTGAAGAGCTGTGTTTCCTTGATAATCTGTGGCTAGCAGATCAGCACCAAATTTATGTAACAGCTGACAGATGTCTACATTCCCTCGGGCTGCTGCGAGGTGAAGGCCTGTCCTGCCCCTGCTGTCACGGATATTTGGGTCAAAGCCACTTTCCAAAAGCCGCTTGGAATAGTTAAAGTCTCCATCAATACAGGCTTGTAGCAAGGGCACATTAGTCTGAGAAGAATCATTTACAAAAACATAGGACATTGTTCTGATGTGTTGGATGGAGTATGCCTGAAATAAAATATGAGGTGAGTGAGATTCAATGAAGTCAAACTAAACCAAGACAATGAAGTCAATCAGAAAAGTACTATTTCTTATCCTTCTTGGCCTTTCAACTATAATAAATTACCTTTTTAAGCAGAAACAATAATAACAAAGTTATCGGTTATCAATTACTTTTTTTTTTTTTTTTTGGTATTACTGGGGTTTGAATTCAGGCTCTCAAGCTTGCTAGGCAGGTACTCTACCACTTGAGCAACGTCCCAGCCATCAACTAAATTTTATTTTCCATTAAAATATTTTCTTCACAACTATGGGATCAAAATTCCAATTAAAATACTATAATGGTCTATTTTGCTTCAAATCATATAAGAATATTAAAAGACAATTTTAAAGTTAAACAAGACATAATTGCTTAGATATAAGCTTATTACATTATCAGAAGACTTTAAAGAACTATATATATAAATGCTATTGCTGGTAGACTTTCTTATTTTAATACAAAGTAATTTTCTTCCATATATGCTTCTTCTTGTATTTGAGATAGTCTATACAGCAAACAAAATTATCTGCATGAAAAAAATAATCTAACTAAATTGGCATTCAATAAGGACCCCTAGAATGTAATATTTATTGCATAAATATAGGTTTTCATAAAATGAGAAAAGTTCAGGAAAGTTACAAACTGAATTTAATAACTGATATATGAAACCAATGCAGATTATCCTTCATTTTACAGTCTTAACACTATTCTACTATGTTCTATGATCATCTCAATGCATGATTCTGCAAAACTCCTACTGTCTTAAGACTGAGAAGAGAAAAGGTAGGTCTTCCTAGGAACACAGAGGCAAGACAAAAGCAGCAATCTCAGCTGTGTCTACTGTAATATTTTATCTTTCTGACTTACCCAACTCACCTGATTATATCTAGGTCTTTCACTTACAACTTCCCTACCACTGGTGGTAGGGGATTGTACTTAACCAATGTGCAAACAAGATCTCTCTTGCTCTTCTTGGTTCATAAAAAAAATACAGTAAAATTAAAATTAAAAAGGCCAAAGGAAACCTTACTGGGAAATTGAAAATAGAGAGGCAAAGACCAATGCATTTATAGGGACAGCACTTAGTCTAAGGTTACAAAAACCTAGTCAAAGATAGGCTCAGTATTTCTTTCTGGAACACAAATGGAAATGGGTGTTAAACCAATCTACTCTTGTGCCTAACCTTCAGGGTATTCAGGAAAGCATAACACATGGTGGCAGCATCTGGTAGGATTTGGGGCTCTTCCTCTTTTCAGTATAGTTTCAAAGAAGAGCTGTAGTCCTTCCAGCCTGGGCTGCCTTATACCAGAGCTCTGCTACTGCCATGGGTTCTCTGGGAGGAAGGGAAGGCATTAGTGTACACTGAGGACCTGTTCTGAGGCAGGCAGCAACTAAGGCATTTAATGAATTTTACCTAATCTTCTTAGCAAGTTCAGGGTAAAGTTTATTGTCCTTGAATTTCCATGAGTCACTGTAGGATTTTAAGTCAAGGAAATGGCATGATCTTGTTCAGAAACAGGCCCAGATGGGAATTCCGGAGGGGTTAGGTTGGAGATGGGAAGACCAGAGACAGGGAGATCAGTCGGCAGCAGTGCAGTAACGTAGGCAAGAACTGGTGATGGCAGCCTGACCTAAGGCAGGAGCAGAGAGGAGGTAATATCTTGGAGAGGGCACAGAACACAACACGACGGCTCAGTGGATATAGGGTAAGCAGGAGCTATTAAGTCCAATTCCAAGTAGGGGAAAAATGTGCTCATGGTCAAGAATTACAGAGGCCAAGATAAAATAAACTGCAGGTTATAAGCAAATAATGATTTTTTTAAATTTATTTTTGAGATAGAATGTCACTATGTATCCTAGGCTGGCTCAAACTCATAATCCTCCTGCCTCAGCCTCCTGAGTGCTAGGATCATAGGCATGAGCCACCATGCCTGACTCTAAATAATGATTTTTTCAAAATTAACTCTGTGAGAAGAATTTATTCAATAGAATAGTTAAGAATTCATTTTTGAGTTTAAGGGTAATTTCCTTATTCCCCCTTTCTTGTCTGTTCTTCAGGGGAGAAAAGTATAGTAAAATTTTTCAGTTTCTTTGTCCTCAAGAAACTGCTAAGTTCACCCCACATTTAAAGAGCCCAATGACAGACCACACTTCTCCTCTTGTTCACAGACCTGAATCTGCCCTAGCACAAGGCCATAGCTCGCCAAAGGTCTCACACGCTGTGAAGGAGTTCACAGCAGAAAATACTTACGTAAGTCGTATGATTAGATCTTTCCTTCAGTGGTCACTAAGTAGTTTATCTAATTCTCAACAAGGTTCAGCAAAAATATTCAGTAATGTGCCAGCAGGGATCTACAATAAAAAGAAAACCTGGTTACAACCAAAGTGTGGCATGAAAAAGAACATGTTGTTCTGTTACATACCGATAGGCCAGTGGAGCCTGTGGACTTTCTCCACAACACCTGGGGTGAGGCAGTGACTTAGAGGCTATTCAGGTAACTGATGAGTAATAAAGTAGCAAAAAGAACAGAAGGGCTTCATATGGAGTTGTCTGTTGCTCACAGACAAGAAAGCATGAACAGAAAGAGAAGAAAAAGAATCAAATTATGCACCAACAGTAGGGAACAAACTAGGCTCTGAAATTCACTCTCAAGTCATTATTTGGAATTCCAAATGCATATTTTTCACAATGTAAATAGAGGCTAGCTCCCAAATTGGTCCACAAAAGCATTTTCCTTCCTTCCTTCTTTCCTCCCTTCTTCCCTCCATTCCTTCTTCCCTGCCTTCCTCCCTCCCTTCCCCTCTCTCCCTCCCTCCCTTCCTTCCTTTCTTTATATTTATTTTTTTTCAGTGCTGGGGCTCAAACCCAGTGTTTTACAAATACTAAGCTAGTTTTCTACCACTGACCTATACCGCCAGTCTCCCACAAAAGCATTTTTAGAAATAAAATACCATTCATAATGGGCATAAAAGTAAAAACAGCCAAACAGGATATATTTAATAAAAATACTTCTAATCTGTCTTAAATGCTAGTACTTAAATCTCTTTCTCAGATTGCCCTTCTTTTTAGTGTGAAAGAGAATCTGGCCCAAATTTAGCTGCAGTTTTTTCCATTCTGCCCTGACTTTGTGCTTGAGCCATGTGTCACCTCATCCCATCCTCAGGCTTCTATCGGGACCCACTTGGGTTGCCATTCTGTGCACTGAAAGGCTTTGAGAGCACCTTGCATGCCTACACACTTCTTCTCTTGAGGGACCATGGAAGCAGGGTCATGGGCAGGTGGCATGAGCCACAGAAAAGCACTATTAATTCATCAAGTAAACATTTACTGTGTGGCTGAAACGTGCCATGTAAAGTAGTGAGATATAAAGTTCAAGTCCCTGGTCAGACTGAAACTCATGCTGATCTTTCACTGGTTATTCATGCTCACTGTTAAATAAATTTACATAGGTTTATGAAGCTCATTTACAATATGTACATCAGGTTGTCATATAAGAGCTATGAGTACTACGTTGGACCTGATAGCTGACATACATCAGCATAGATGCTGAAGTTACAAACTGGATGTGAGTCTTACTCCCACAACAGTATCAATAAAGATGAAGACATAATATGCAAAACATCTACCCTGAAACATTGCCTAGTTTTCTGCAATTCCATGATATCAACTTAGACAAACTTCTCATATCACTGAACCACCTAATTCAACTTTCTTAAACAAAGAGTCTGAATTCATCCAAAACTTAGTACTTTCCCCTCTCTCATCCTGACCACTGAAGCAAGTCTTCACAACAGGTGTCTCTCTAACATAGATTTGGCCTCCATTTTCAATATTAAAAATGGTACAAGGGGGTTATTCTGAAGGCAAGAGCATTCACACTATGAAAAGAACAAGTTGTCCTTTTCATTTAGAGGTAGAGCTAAGACCATATAGTTATACTCCAAACTAATTCTAATGTTCCCATAAATCCACAAGAAAAGTAATGCTTCTGTCATTTTCTTTTGATATACCAAAGCCTGATTTTAAAAAAACCCTACATTATTAAATTATAGATTTATTGATTCCATCTTGTACAAATACATCAAACTAAATTATTAGAAAACAACTAAAACAACCTCCACAACCTTGGTCAGATCTTAATCACTAGAAATACATTAATAACTTCCCCAAAAAGTCACAGAGTGAATAACTTCTGTCCAAGAGGTAAAGAGGACTATAGATTCTTAAACTTTTAATTTTGAGATAATTATATACATGTAAGAAATAATACAGAGAAGTCCTGAGTACCCTTTACCTAGTTTCCCCAATGACAACATCTTACATATCTATAGTATAACATCACAACCAGAATATTAACACTGACTATTGATAAAAAGAATGTTAGGCCTGAAGGTGCCTATGTTCACTATGCAAAAAAGGACATAAGGTGATCTTTGGAATCAGTTGTCCTGGTATTCAGTTATTTATGGAAGTCCTTGTAAGACCAAGCATTTGGAAGGGCACAGGTAGATGCCCTTTTATTAATCAAAAGGAGTGTTTAATAAGAGTCATTCCAAAGGTAGAGTTACAGCAACTAATAAGAGTGTGAACAGAGGACTAGTATCTTTCCAATTTCATTGAGGGTTGAGTTGGTTCCCCTGTGGATGGATGTGAAAGCTAAGTATAGGGGCTGGCAGAGTGGCTCAAGTGATAGAGCACTTGCCTAGCAAGTGTGAGGCCCTGAGTTCAAGCCCCAATGCCACTAAAAAAACTGAACAAACTGACATCTATTATAAGTATTTAAAAACATAATGAAAGCTAATTATTATGAAGGCTGCTTTTAGAGGTGGGGAAATAAGAGGGAGAGAAATGTGATATAGTCTGACTATCCTCAGTGGGGCTATGTTTAGGAGTTTATAACAGAGGGAGCTTCTTGCTGTTGGACTCTGTCAAACCTAGCTATTCCCCCCAGAACATGTGTGGAGCTGAAAGACCTGAGTGTAAACCCAGCTCGCTCCGGTCCTTACCAGCTGTGGGATTTAAAGCTCTCAATCTGTAAGTTATTATCCTCCCCAGGCTAAGCACAGTACTCTGCTGACTCAAGAAAGCTTGCATACCACATCCATCCCTTGGTAACAGAGTAGCTTCCAGCAATGGAGTGATATCTAGTGGGGAGCAAAGACCTCCTGGAAAGAAAAAAAGAACTGATTCCTGGCAGAGGAAAAGCACCATGGCGACACATAAGCAGCACATGAACATCCATGGCTGAAGTAGCCAAGCCCCAGAAAGCGTACTTGGTTGTTCACCAGGGCCCTGGTTTCTAAGAGGCAGGGTCTATGAGAGACAGTTTTCATGGATTGGTTCAGAGGCAGACACATTGGCATTGTTAAAACAAAACTCTTGAGGGTCAAGTCTCAGAGGGCTGGGGCAGTATGACACTTAAGATTCCTCATTTTGTGCTCTGTGGCACTGCATGGAGGTCACAGGTACACCTGATGTCAACCAGCTCTTGCCTCTACCCAAACAGTAAATCAACAAGGAGGTTTGGCTGGAAGCTTGTGAGTCACTGGCTTGACAGAAAGTTCTATCCAATGTTTTTCTTTTATATTTTAAACTCTGCATCCATAACTTAGGTCAATCTACAAAACTTCTAGGATCGTATTCTTGTGGTTAAGAACTAATGGAAAGAAGATATTATATTTTAATATACACTATACTTATAACTTTAAATTGATCTTCTATATCCAATACCAACAACCACACATAATATATTGATTTATTTTTCATTTTGAAAGGTCACTGGGAAAGGCAACACTAAGTGCTACATTTTTGGTATAAATGGACAGATTATATCATGTCAGCAGAGCAATTTTAATCAGAGACCAAAGCATAAGATACTTTAGCAAAACATGAGGAGAAAATGGTATAGCTGGAGCTCTCTCAAGCATTGTTGGGTCTTACTGCCTCCATTTTCTAACATCAAAGAAAAGTATTAAAACTAAGAAAATAAGTGATATATGGTAAATGGAGCCATATGGGTTCTCTACAGCTCATTTGGTTATTTTCCTTTTAAAAGGATATAGTTGTTTCAAAATATAAAATAACCTCAAAGAACTATAAAACATGAACTTTGAATGAAGTCATTAAATCCTAACTGCCACTACTTTAGAATGACTTCTTAAAACCTAAGTCTACACAAATCCATAGATCTTGGGCAAGAAAAAAAAGCCATGAATAAAATAAATTTATTGGTATTTCTTTAGTCTGCTTATCTTTACCAGCTGAATTTCTCTAATAAAGTGATTTCAGTAATTTCTAAGGCCCAGAGAGGTCAATAAGCCTAAGGCCGTATTGCTGTAAGTGACAGAATAGGGCTTCATCTTTAATTTATAATATTTCTGTCATGCCATGTAGCCTCTACAGTTATTGAGATAATCAAAAAACAGTTCATACAAAACTTTGTTGCATCCAGGCTCATACTTGTAATCCTAGCTATTTGGGAGGCTGAGATTGGGAGGATCATGGTTTGAGCCCAGCCCAGGCAAATAGATTACAAGACCTCATCTCCAAAATAACCAGAGCAAAATGGACTGGAGGTGTGGCTCGAACTGTAGAGCACCTGCTTTGCAAGTGTAAAGCCCTGAGTTCAATCCCCAGTCTGACCAAAAACAAAAAGAACAAAACAACTTTGTTGCTTAAGGGCTGGGGGTATAGCTCAGTGGTATAGTGCTTGCCTTGCATACCTGACACCCTGAGTTCAATCTTTACCACTGTAAAAAAAAACAAAAAGCAAGCAACAACAATAATAAAAACATTATGTGGGCTAACAACTGTCCTAAAACTTGTCTGACCATGCTTCTAGAATGCAAGAAATGGATGTGATTTGTCTGTATATTCTGGAAGACTGCATATTGCCGACCACATTAATGTTCCTCAAAGTTTAGACACAGGAGAACATAATAATCTTCCCTAAAAGTACACTCAATTAAGTTCATTGCCAAAGAATTTTAAAGAAACATTTTCTACATTTCATTGTAAAATATTCTAGAGAATAACAAAGAGAAGAAAATAGGTTACCCATAATTCTACCAACTAGAAATTACTACTACCACCGCTATTTTTGGTGCTATGGACCTCTAGTTATATTTCTTACTTCATATACCAATGTTAAACTTTTTTATTTGCTATATTATGAATCATTCCATGTAGTATCCTACAGTAATTTTTAATGGTTGAAGCATGTTCTATTCCATGTATGTATCAATTGTTTCTTATTGATTCTTAGCACATTAAAAAGGAAGTTGCTGTGTTTTTTCCCTATTACATAGATTCAAATTTGTTGACATTTTAAGCCAATCAAAATGTAGGTAGT